TTGGTAATGTGCATGGGAAATATCTGTCAAACCAGCTCATAATTTTTAATACATATGCGTCCGATTCAAAGTTTCAATTTGATTTTGTATAGCATTTCAATCAGATAAATTTAAAGTATTTATGAATTTTGTTCGGCAAAAAAATAAACTTTGCAAGAAATCTTACGTAAAAACTAAATAGTGAGTGAGCATTGGAACATTTTGTTTATTTTATTTTTCTTGGTTTGCAAATAGATTTAAGGCAATCTCTTGAACTTAATTTGTTTATAGTAAAAAAGGAAATAATGGGTCTTGTTCTATGATTAAAAAAAAAAAACTTAAATGAATAAACAAATTATTTATGAGTCATTCTTTTTATACTGTTTTTTTTTTTGTACTTTTAGAAATGTATATTGACAAAACTTTTTTTTAAAATTTTACTTTTGAAATGCACAGACATAAGAAATTTGCTGAGGGCCCTTGGGGCTTCTATAAAGATTGTCTAAACAGTTAATTGCAAGGTCAATTGTTCACAAATTGATTCAAATTTGCTGATTGGTTGTTGATTTTATTTACTTTTTAAACAACGGAAGTTCAAACAATGAACAGAATTGTACACTTGTTTTAAAACACATTTTCACTTGCTCCAAAATTAGATCCAAAGCAATTAATTTTAGTATTCGTTTAATGCGATTCCTTTATAAAAGCTAAAAAGTTTTCCATTGCTAAAATTTAATTTCAAACAAGTCTTGTTCAAGTAAAAACCATTTGTTTGATTTGGTCAAGAAAACCCATTATAAGATCTAACAAAACGACTACAAATTTCTTCAAAAGCAAGATCAAATTTGCTACAACATAGAAAACAGTACCCTTATTTTAATAGTTTCTGTAAATGCTTTAAAGTTTAAATTTTCTAATATTGTTGTTTTTGCACTTATGAGAGAAAGCTAAGATGGTCTTATCCTTTTCTTAACTATGGGTATGTTAGTATTCTTGGCTAAACTTCTAAGTCTTTGCTCGAATTGAGAAATATCTAATGGAATAATTTCTCTTACAGCCATATCAGCTATTCCGAAAATCGTCTGTGAGACGATCCATGCGCTGGAGTTGCACGATGAGACACCGTCGTGGAAGATCATGGACAACAAAGGGCGTGTCACGGTCGTTCTGCACTGGGATCAGCGGCAGGGTGGAGGAAGCGGCGGCGGCGGAGGCGGTGGCGCCGGCGGCGGAGTGGGGAGCATGTGCTCCGGCCTGGGCAGCAGCAACGGTCTGCTGTCGTCCGACAAGTACTCGCCCTCGAAGAAGGGCCTCTCCGCGCAGAGTTCGTTGGACAACAAGTCGGTGTCGTCGCAATCTTCCCAGCCGCGCTACGCCAGTCCCCAAATAACGGTGATCAGCGACGACGGACCGGCGAGCATATACCATCCCGGTGGCGTTGTCCTGCCGCCAGGAGTTGTGATACCCGGCGGCAGCAGGCGGCTCTCCAAGCAGGGCAGCTCCTTCGACAGCACCGTTGGCGTGGGCGTGGGAGCGGTCCACGTGCATACGCCGGAGTGCGCCCACCACGCCCACACGCCCAGCAGGGCGGGCAGTCCCAGCACCACGGAGTGCGACTTCCACTGCTGTGCGCTGCACGAGGAGGGGCGCAAGATCGCCGTGCACAAGAGCGTGGCCACGTCCCCCATTCAGGACGGGAGCAGCAGTCCCCAGCCGCAGTCGGCACCATCGGTTATGGATCCTATGCTGGGCGGAAGTGGTGGCGGCGGCGGAAGCGGCAGCATGCAGCGCCGCTCGTCGGGCGCCAAGGGCCATGTGCGATTCCTTGACATCGCCCCGGAACGGGATAGCTCCGAGAGCGAGACAGAGAACACGGTAATGGAGGACGACAAGACGACGACGGAGAAGTTTCTGCTGCTGATCGACCAGCTGTCGGTGGACCAGAAGCGCCACCTCAGCATCAAGGACATCGGCATCATACTGGAGCGCCTCAACTCCAAGATCCTCGACGTGGAGCGATTAGATCGCGAGTCCGAGTCGGACGATTGCTACAACTGGACGATAAAGGCGACAATACGCGGCGATGCGCTGCGCGAACTGGGCGTCATCTATAATGGCAACTACTACGCCATCTCCGAGCATCCTGGCTACAAGGAGGAGCTGGAGGAGAACGGCGAGGAGGTCGAGGAGGAGGAAGAAGAGGACGAGGAGGACAGAATTTAGAGTGCCAATGGCGGGCAAACGGGCAGACCCACAGGTTCACGAATGCCCCACGTTGGGCGCCACGGAAGGTATCAATAAACTAGCGCATTTTACAGAAACAAAAAACGAAAAAAATGAAAAAACCAAAAATAGGAGTAGCCCAGCAGCTCAAACACACTCACTCACACACAAACACACACCAACATACATACATATATACATATATACTTATATAAAATAATTACGAGAATATAATAATGCAAGTCGCACATTGTACAATAGTGAAGTAAGCATAAACGTGAATTATAAAAAAAGGCGAAAGCAAAGCAGCCACACACCCAGAGACACACACACCCACGCCCAAAACAACAGCAACAAGCGCGAATCATGTAAACGCAGTTTTTGTAGCATTTAGCCAGAATTCTCACAGACGGGGACCGACATTAAAGGAAGGAGTAAAGTGGGTTGTAGATGCTGCAGTGGCGAATGTACATGTATTAAAATACACGAACTCCGCACAGGCAGCCGCTTAATCGCTTGCAGCCCGCTTAACAAAAATTAAATTCGAATTCAAATTCCCCAGTATTCACCTCATGGGTTAGTTGCAAATCCCCCAAAAAAGACCCAAAATCCACCCATCCCTGTGTTGTTATCGTTGTTGTACAATAGATGTTTCGTGTTCCGTTGTGATTGTGTGCCAAAATAGCCTTATTTAGTTGGATAGCCCCATACACAGACTGCCACTCGAGTCAGGAAATCTAATCTAAACCCAAAGACTATAAGTTGTGAAAAAGATATAGATAACAGAGACTATAAATTGTTGTTGCCAGAAAAAAAGATGACGGGGTCTAACTGTGTTTCAGTCGGTCTCTCGTTTCCTATGTAGTGAGTTCCTCAGTTTGCTTTTCAGACCCACCCCAGAATTTGTATAGTTCCTGGACAGCGTAACTCTCTGTTTGAGGCCTATTATTTGTTAATGTTGTTGCGTTTCTCCCCCGAAACAAAAAACTTTCACTAATCATCCGCATCAGCATGTAAAACTGCCGTTATTTGTAGTGTTGTCAAACGTTCAACAAAATCGCGCACAATGTTAAAAATTAAACACAGAGAATAGAAACAATAAGCAAGATGCTCGATGCTCGCAAAATTGCCTGACGAACAGACTAAAATATGTGTCGTAGATATAGACCGCCCCCGCATGGCCTCCAAAATCAGCCGTAGATCCATTGGGAGTATCTATCAGAACACATTACACGATCGCAATCTAAGTTGTAATTGAACAAATGCGTGAAAGCGAAAAACACTGCCAACATCGCCATTAGCATTCGCATCTTTATCCGCATCCTGCATCTGTTGGGTTAGGCTTTCAATTTCCAAAAAAATTTGACTGTTCCATACGGGTATCAAGTAATCGGCATAAATTGTAAGAGCAGGAGGTTGAAGAATACTTGGCGGGGACACGGATAGTTAAACGGTTGATCTTCCTAGGTAAAGAACGTGTTTCGGTGTCTAGAACAAAGAGTTTTAAAATTTGGCAAATATTGCTTTTTTTATAGAGAAGTGCTTGAGGTTTAAAAGAACACTTTTTAGTTGTTGATTATAATAATCTGTATTTTAAATATTGTAAGATCATTTTGTAGTTACCAATTGAACATCGGGGAAGTGATCCTTAGTTTGAAAAGTAACTTATGACAGTGATAGTAAAAATTAACTCAATTTAGTTCAATTCAATTTTCTTTCTAGTAGTTCGAATTGATTTTCTCCTTCACTTATTCTTTACCCTATATGGATTTGATTTTTAATTGCGATCGCCTTTATTTGTAGTGTCTATTTGTTTAGGGATTCAATAGCATTCGTAGCTGGTCTACGTTGCTCGTCACTATGTCCTAGATTAGATCTATGGGCACTCGATTAGGAACCTTCCGCTGCTTTATCAGATCTTTAGACGCAAACAAAGTGGTCAGTTACTAAAACCACGCCGAGATCAACCAAAACTGTATTCCGCTCTAAACATAAACTAACTTAAATGTAATACGGAAAAGAGAAGCGATAAAAAAGAAAGCGATTTTTAACATACGTTTGTCCAAGGCACAAAAATCTAAGCATTGAAGCGAGAAAATTAAATGAAAACCTAGTATGTATAAATGAAAATTGAAATTGATAATTAATTGATAACGATAATAAACGAAAAGTTAGAAAAGCGAGAAGCAAAGCGATGAGGAAGAACGTTAAACGAGAATTCACAATTAGCGAGGCGAAAAACAAATTCATTAGTGTTGTTTTAATTTATTAGTAAGTCGAGAACGGCAAAGCGACCCAAAAAACGACGATGAATATATCTCCATGTGTATGTATGTATGATTAGAGGACGGAGTACGAGGGAGGGGAGTCGAGTTATAGAGATTGAGGAAGGTAATACGGAAATACCTATGCGTACTCAACAAGCATTACATAGTTATAAGACGGGAACTCGCAATACGATGATAACTCAACTTCCAAACCGATACAGACTTCTTCAGCTGACTTCCATAATCATAATCATTGTTAACACTTAACTATAAAGGATAACGCTTTAACGAACAAACAGACACTTACACGAACCTTAGTTCCGGTTGAGTTAGTTAGGTTCTGTTCGATCCAATCCCGATTCGAGGCCCTGCCCTGCCCCTCCACTCAGACTCGTCGTCACACACTCTGTGTAAATGCAATCAGTTAGATTTATAAGATGAATAACACGTCGAACGAATGTAAGACATCCCCAAAAGAAGGCATTAATTAAGCTACGAAACAATTTGCAAATAATACTCATAGAGCGCGAGTCGAGGCAGAAGATGCAACATCATGCGTTACATTGTTTTAATATTGCGAATTACGAATAAATTGATCAATTAACATATACATACAACAAAGAGCAAACAAATTACAAACTGTTTTTATTAATTTTGTTAAACGATAATGAAATCATTAAAATAACTCTAACAAAGGAAAACAAGCTAAGCGGATAACAAACGACAGATTAAAATTAATAACATATATAAATCGATATATAAATACACACACTCACATAAAACCAACATTGAGCAGAGAAACAACCAAACAAAAAACAAAAACATAAATTCAATTAAAAAGTAACAAAAACAAAAAAAAACAAAGTTTAAAGAACAAGCTCAAGTCGCAAGGAGCAGTAAGGCTAAAAAAAAAAAACAAATTTGTTCACAGTGTAAATTGTAACACACAGAGAGCGAAATTAAACGCAGGAAGAGACGAAGTGAGGAATGTGAGCGAGGAGCTATTATTAAAACATTAAACGATTTAAACAATAAAAAACAGAAAATAAATAAAACAAAAAAAATACAAAAATTTAAACCGATTCGAACTGTCTTGTAGATTAACCGGAACTGGTCGATAAACATTTCCACTCAATATGTATGCGAACAACTGTATGTAAATATACGGGGGATTCACACATCAACAGCAATGTTTATTAAACATGAACGAACTAAAGGTTGTCTACATTCAACAATAAATTATTGAGCCAAACATTGAACAGTTTATTGCCGCTCAACTGGAGCTTGCTCATTTCCGATATGGTAACGGTGCGTTTCATAACCATAAATGACACGTGGCGCGAAGGTCTTAGATCTACGATCGATGCCCGACATTGAGCGCATTATAGCCGATTTTATTTTCGCTTAATGCTTTAACATAATGTGGTTGTTAACCCTTTATGCTTGTGGAACGCACAGTGTGTAGATATAAATACATATACTAATGCCAATGATTTTCAATACATCAACAAGTCGACGCCTTGTGGCGTCTCACTGTATTGTCAATCCTTGCCTTACTTCTTAGTAAGTGTGTTTAAGTGCACATTAGGCTTATGGTCACGCATTCACAGCAATCAGTAACAATCGGTATCAGTTAAAGCTAATCACATGGTAGAACCGGCCCAAGGCGGTACCCAAATCAAACAATTACTTATTGCTAGCAATCGGTTAGAACTGCTTGAGCAATTTACAGAGTGATAAAGCACTGCCCGCACAATGCAACAATAGTCTACGAATGTGTATAGTTTATACATGCATATATGGTCATTACTCATCTGGGCTGGGGGTATGAGTTGCGAGAACAGCAACTGAGATAATTTAATTAAGTAAGTCACTTATCGAACGCGTGACTAACAGTTAATTGAGCGCTTCGATTAGCAGTGTGTCGCGCATTTAACCTCACTCAGCGCAATTGCCAATTTGTCTGTCTGTTTATCAAATCTATCGTCGTAAACAAATAGCGTTTTTGGTTCGTATTCGGTCGTTTGCCTATGTGCTTTGTGATACATTTTGTGCAGATATCTGGTATTGTCTTTATTCGTTGTTGTCTTATATAAGTTAACAAGTGCGTCTAAGTATATATTAAGTTAGTTGACTTTGATAGGGATTAGGCTAGGGATTATCACTAAGCATGGAGAGTGACGACGTAGCCGATTTTTCGGCCATAACTAGACTGGGTACACGACAAGGAATCGGGAGGAATCAAATGAATGGCTATCCTAATTGTTGCGAACTCAGCCCGGCGTCTGCAGCTTGTTGCTGGACCGGGAGAACAGGACCTTCTTCAGGATGTTTGGCTGCCACTTGATGGAGCTCTTCTTGCTCTCCGACGTTGTGGAGATATTGGAGCTGCTGGCACTGAGTGTCCTTTCGCGTTCCGTCACATTGATCGTGCTGACGGAGTGGGCGTGTCGCAGGGTCTTGGCACTGCTCTTCTCGCTCTTCGGCGTCTTGCCAAAGCTGTGCGTGAACTTGCGCAGGAAGCGATCCGTCTTCTTCGGCTTGCGCTCCGGCGTAGGGGAACTGGTGCTGCCGGAGATCGACACCAAAGTCGTTTCTGCTTCCGGCACCTTGAAGTTGGGCATGTCGGTCACATCCTTATCGTTGATCTGTATCCGGATGCTGGGTGTGCTGACCAACTGCGGAGCAGATTCCTTCACCGGCGATGGTCTGTGTGGGAAGATTTATAGGCATTAGTGATAACATTTCGGGGTTCTTTGAGGGAAGCCAAATTTCTTTTTTTGTATAAATTTTGTCTTTGTTCAACATTCGAATTAAAGCTTATTTCTTATTCATTTAATCTTACTACTACATATACGTTTTTGAAAGGTCATTTCCGTTGTCATTTTTAAATTGCATTACTCATACGTAACGTAATACTGGCTGATCATTTTGATTCAAAAGCGTCTGAGAGGCAATCTTTAAGTCTGTGCTTTCTTAAAACAAAAGTATCTTCTTCTAATAAAGAAAATCAAATAAAAATTCCTGCTAGATTGTTCTGCGGCTGATCGCTCATACGCTATGTGCTATTTGCTTATATATTTTGTTTACAAGCAGTTAGTATATAATTGAGCATTTTATGCGAATACTATAAACTGATTTCGCAGCCCATGAAACTCAAAAAAAGGCAAAAACATGAGCTAATAAAATGTACGCAATAGTAATGTTGGCGTAAGGAAATTCAGTTGTACTTATTGCCTTTATAACTTTATTTATCTCAAGTGACACAACGATCTAATGACTTTTCTCCGCCCTTAAGAATTATCATTCCACTTTCAGCTATACAAACAAATAATAAAGTATCAACTCTTACGTTTGCACTGGTCGCGTGGAGAAGGTAGAAGAAGCATCCAGATCGTGGAGTGAGCGGGCCAACTTGTCCCAAAAGTTGAACAACTTGGAGTCTCCGCCGTAGTTCATGTGCGTATAGATACCCAGGGTGTGGGGTATGTGCATACCCGTCTTGTACAGAATCGGTATGATCTTTCGACTGTTGTTCTCTGCGAGGCGATCGGAAAGTGGAAAGTGGAACTTGTTATGTGCACTGGCCCTGGGCTTTGAGCTAAGTAGCCAGTCACTCACCGATTTGAAGCTTCTGGGTGAAGTTCACGAGGTACGTGTTCTCTGGACTCCGAAGAAACTCATCTGTTAGCACGACGATCAGGTAATTACAGCGGGTGGCCAAGAAGTGGGAAAGTTGGACATGCTCGAAGGGAACGCCCATTAGCATGTCGCGATGGCGCAGGAAGAGCTGTGGATAAATGGTACCTGGTTATTTCTTGTTGAATCCAAGACCCAAGGGATCTCACTCACTCGGAGATTGTATCGATCAGACTCTAGATTATTCATGATCTCGGTGGCATGCTCGAGGTCCGCCTCGGCATACAAAACACAGGCATTGTACCTCGGCAGCGGTTGGCCCATCTGCGCACACCTCTGATCTTCTTCGCTCAGGATTTGGACACTTTGGCCCACTGTGATGTTGTTGTTGCTGCTGTAGTTGTTGTTGGTTTCGATACAGTCACTGGGAGGAGAAGGAAACGCCTCCGCAAGAGCGTTCTGTCGCTGCTCCTGCTTCAAAATGTAGCGCTGGATGTCCTTTGCTGCATGCCCAAAATTCAATGAAAATAATCAATTAAAGACGTTAAATGAAATAAAAAATAAATTCTAGTAAAAAGAATGTGCTCAAATGAAAACAAAATGTTTTTTTGTCTGCAAGTTTTCAAGTTCACTGGTATGCTATTTTTATAACAACAAAAAACAAAATGATTATAAATCACAGAATCTAGATTAAACCAGAAATGCTTGAAAAGAGAAAAGTCGTTTAAATATTAACATAATTGAAGTCAGTCATCGGTAAGTTTCTTATTTTTATGCTTAATAACAGCATTTAATTTAAACACATAGGAAAAAACAAATGATTAAAAAAATTTCCGTTATATTTTTTAAACAAAATTTGTTTTTCGTAAATCATGTTTCGACCTTCTGTTTTTTGATTTGTCTTTAACTTAATATGAACACATTTTGTTTTCAAGGAAACCATGCAAATTTCAGTCAAAACAAAAACTCGTATACAAATATATCGTATAGAAATATATTGGCCTAAACAAAAACAGCCGTGCCAAAGTTCTTTTTAATGACAACAACTTTTGTCAGGTGAATCCCCTACGTGTAAAAAAAAAACACTTTCCTAAATGATTGGCATTCCTCTCTAATTTGAATTGTTTATGTTCTGTTGTCTAAGGCTGTTCAAATTTGTTGAGATTTTTGGACAACTTTCTTTGGTAGTAAATAATAATCAATTTAAAAATTAATCATTCAGAAGTGTATCTTTGGTTTTTTAGAATTTGTCATAACTCAATTTGTTTATGTACTCAACTACAGCGGTTGTTAAAGTTAGATAAACACTATAGATAAGTTTGTAATGAACGCATTATGCCTACACTCAATACCGTCATAAATTTCGTTCACTATCGTTTTTAAAAAAACAAAACGACCATAAATCCGAAAACAAATTCATCAAAAGTAAATAAGAGTTGCAGTTGCATCATCCCATTAATTTTAAGGCATTTTTGAGTCCGTTCATAAAACAAACACAATTTAGAGCCGTTCTGTTATATTGTAAATTGGCTATAGAATATTTGAAAGTCACCTATCAGAAAAGCATTTCAAATAACTTCGGCCTAATTCTATTAATTGATTACACTTAATTGATTTTAATTACAATTAAATTTGCTCAGTATTTTTTTAAGTGGGTCTCAGTTAATTGTTTATTACTCAAGACTGACGTTAGATGGCATTGGATTATCTCGAAACAACAAGAAATAAAGACCAGCTGGATTTTCCTAAATATATAATCTTTGGAGTACAAATAAAAACTGATAAAGAATAATGATCATTTAATTAGGATCATTACTAAAATTAAAAATAATATTTTAAAGTGCCAAACTTCATGAGTTTTTAACGATCAATGTTTTTATTTGTACGGATGGAAATCCTCAATGCTCCAAACCTTAATCTTGACAACTAATTTGAAGTCTATCTTTTGTTGCTGTTTAGTAATTACCAAGATTTTCCTGAATGTCGTCGCAGACGTCCCATCGATCGATGATGCCGAGAAAGTCTTCGAGGTTGCCGACCGTGGCGTTCTGGGGGTCCCGCTGGCTCCAGCTGACGAGCACCAGACCCATGGGATCGTTGGCGTTCTCATCGACGAAGTCCTTCTGCTTGGCCAGGTCCAGGATGCCACGCCAGTCCCGCTGGTAGCCCTCCTCGGATCGCAGCACCTTCTTGCGGTTCAGCATGCGGGAGAGCTGGGTCCGGGTCTCGAAGCTCAGTTCGGATAACGGGGTCTCCTTGTAGTGGGCCGCCATCCCGATCCCCGATCCGGAGTCCATAACTCCCTCGGCCACCACCATGTTGGCGGTGCGATAACGCCGATAACTGACGTCAGTGGCGCCGTAAATGTGGTGGGAATGTTGCGGGGGATTGGGATGGTGATGGAACTGGTAGTGGGAATGGGAATGGGGATGGAAGTGGGAATGGGCAACCGAGTGCTGCTGATGGCATACAAATCGAGGGCGCATTCGCACTTGGCGCTGGCTTTATTGGAATAATTGGTGTTTGTTTGCTGGTGTTTGTTTTAGTGTGATGCGATATATATTTATCAACTGACGTTTATCAGTCGAGAGGGCGGGCAATAAAACGACGAAGCGCGTGAGTTTGCTATTGTGTTGATTTTTTTTTTGTGTGTTTTCTATATATATATTGCCTTTTTTCAGAGAGTTTTTTTTCAGATCGCGCGTGCTTTTAGCGGGCGGATGGAACTGGAACTGGTTACGGGGTTGAATGCGCGGGGGGTGGCGGTGGGTGGTGCTATGCGAAATGGGCCGAGTGACCTCCAGCACCTTGCCGCGTCACAGTCGCGTTGTTTTTGTCTCGGATTCTGTTTTTATTTATCTGTCTGCTCCGCTTCGTTGTTGGCGGAGAGGAGATCTTCGCTTTTCGTCTGGCGTATGATTTTTAAATATTGTTTAAATATACACAGCACACACACATACACGCGCGCGTACAATCGGTGGCACTCACACAGCTTCGCACTAAGCACAGAAATAAATTTTATTCACTTTTTTCGAGTGCGTCCGCTCCGGTTTGTTGTTTTGTTTCGACTGGTTCTGTCCGCCGTTTCGTGCTTTTGTTTCTGCCTCGTTGTCCGCTCCTCCGCCTCTCCTCCCCCCTCCTTTCTTCTCCACCACCGCCTGCCTTCTTTCACTCGCTTGTTTATTTTGGCTCCACCGCGGAACAAAAGCGAAACTTTAGTTCAGCTGGTTCGGTTAGTCCGCTTACGGCACTCTGTTTACACTGGCTAATTGCTTATTAATTTAATTTTACTTTGTTTTTTCGACTTTTCGGATCCGATCAGATCGCGACTCCGATAAGCTAATGGCGATCGACAGGCAAAAGCTGGCTACGAGAGCTTTTCGGGTCATTCATAGGTGGGGGCTTGGTATTATTTTTGGAGACAGTTATCGATTGCTGGTGCGGTATTTTTTGCAGTTGGGGCACACTGCAGTGCTTTTACCAATAGTTCTAAAAGCTTCCTAAAGATGGCGCTGCAAAACCTTAGGCCATATAGTCGATTTATTTACTTTGGGAAAAAGGTAAACGTTGTGTCATAAAAGACGCACGCAAACTAACTTTTAATAATTAGAATATATTTTTTTTAATTTAAAAATTTAAAACATAATCTTGCAAAGATATTTAAAATCCTTCAAAGTTATTTCCAGTAAGTCTTGGTAAAAAATATAGTGGTTCAAGATACCTTTACAGAACACTTAAATTTCTTAAAACATGTATTGTTAAGATCAAGAGCTGTTGGCATTGAAAAGGCTAAAAAACTTGCCTGATTTTAGAAATATATATAGTATAAAATTGTATTCAAATGTTGCCAAAACCAAAAATACATTTAATAATTATTTCTTGTTGCGTGATTTAAAAATATCTATGCTAGTAAGGTCCTTAATAAACCAATACTGAAAAGATGGGGGAACAAACCAATTGTAAAACACATTAGGTGAAATAAAAAATGGGAAACATTTTTGGACGGAACTTAATTTATTACGCCAAAGTATGTTATTTTTCACCCTCGAGATACTTACTTCTTCGCAAATAAAGAAATTGCTAAGCCACGAAAGCACTAGACAAATAGCATATTGTCGTAAATAATACACAAGGTTCACTTGTAAATTCAGTTTATTTTCATTTGATTTTTCTTTGTTGTGGTTGTGGTTCATGCCAGAACTTCAACGCATTTTCATTTTCAGTTACAAATACTGAGATATACTTACTACACAGGTGACACAAATTGATTTATCGCTTGTATGGCTTTTGTTTGACGTTTTTCTTTCGATTCAACATTTCTTGCTTGATGAATAAAACGCTGAAGGCGTTCAAATGTATTTTTAAATATATTTGGTTTGCATTTTCGTGGTTTATTTTTGTAATTTTCGTTTTCGGTTGGCTCTGCGTTTTGCATTGCCAGCAACAATTAACAGTAAAAGTTGATTCCTTGCGCACAAGTTGAAGTATTACCTGTTTTTGTTTGATTTCCGTTGTTAATTTATTTAATGTTGATTTTCTTGGATAAGCCTTCTCATTATTTATTTATGTACCTACTTGGTATTTACTCATTTGGTTTGTTGTTCTATGTACAATACACCTGCTTGTGTGTGTGGATCTGTTGTTGTGTGTGTCTTTCTGTGTGTTCTGTTTCGTTATTTTTTTTTCACTTGTAAATAATTGCTCAAACTGGATTGGGCACCAAAAGTCTCTCGTTCAAAGGCTAAAAAGTTTGATTTTTTCTCGAGAAATAATTTCGTTATTCATTAATTTATTCTTGCTGCGTGTTCGTGTTAAACCTGTGTCATTATTCATTATTCATTGGTATTTTGCCCTAAAACGTTACGAGTATTTCAATTACATCAATTTTCTTGCTTCGATTGTAGTTGGTTGTATAATAATTCAGCTTACATTTTTACACTTAGCTAGCCATAATTACAGACGTTAGTTGTATTGTTTTAATTAGGGTTTTTGTTTTGCCGCCGTTCAGTTGATACCCCGTTTACTTTCGTTAGTTTAAGCATGCAGTTAAATCAATAATGCGAACCTAGTAAATATCCTCCGCCCCTCATGTTAAATGCAATTACTAAGTACAATGTTTTGCTTGATTGTTTATATTAAATATGCTTTGCGGTTTCCTTGCGTAAATTTGAATGTGTTTAGCCTCTGTGTCTGGTCAAATACGAAATTGATTCCTAGACCGAAATGCAAATCTTACAAATCTGAATGAGGTGTGGGAGTCTTTGTCTTCGACGTACTTGCATTGCATTTAACAACGATCCGCTCTAAGTAGATTAAATGTTTAAAGTTACAATTTATTGAGCTAGTTTAAAGCTTTCCATTTGTTTTTGTCCTGCCTATCGTTGAACTCCTCCTTCCCCGCTTTCCAACAGCCCCAAAACGTAATTAATTTGTGTACTGCGTTGCAAGGCGTTTCAACTTAAGAACTTTATGAGGGGAAATAAGTTCGATGAATGGTTTCGGCAAACTGTCACTTTTCAAAATTAAAAATAATATTTATTTACCTAACTAAAATGTTTTACCTTCAAAAGCAAGGTTTCCTCTGTATGTGAGAGCGTTTGGTTGGCCAAAACTTACAATGTTTCCTTTGTTGTTTATATAATGTTTGTGGTTTGTGCAGGTACATATATAAAATTGCAAACTTTGTGGACACAAACTAATTCTGTTATCTCTGGATCTCGCATTGATTTAACGCCAGAATCCAAAAACCTATTAAATTGCCTTTGTGCAATCGGGCGAGAATTAGAAATAGAAAACACATGTGCGCTTGAAAATACATTTCCGGCTAATTGTTAATTGGGCAGAGAGAATGGGCTGACAGGGAAGTGCGTTCACAACTTGGGATTCAAGCCTTCAACGCTCTGTTGGCTGAAACCGATAGAAGTTTGCTTCAAGCTAAATTTTGTCGTTAAACTTTGCAACTGAGTTAGCACGGGTTCGTAAAATTATTCATTTGGCGAAGGCTGGGCAATCAATTTTAGCTGCTTTTGGGCTGCTCGACCACAAATTAGTTGTAACATTGAACACCTAAAAAAACATTTAACATTTAGCTTAGTTTCACTTAGTTTAAATCCATTTAAAAATTAATTCGACAACAAGCTCGTTTTGCACTTAAGTAACAGTTTCACATCGATCCGCTAAATACCTAACTCTTCCTCGTTATTATTATTTAGTTATTTATTTATTTAATTACGCTATGCCGCTTTTCTAGCAGGTTCTCTTTAGGATTTGTTTTTTACGTTTTCTTTGGCACAAGTTGTTCTTTCGAGTATGAGTAAATCTATTGAATGTTCCTTTGCTGCTCTTTTACAATTACTGTTAACCTATGAAAATCGTATTTTTACTCAAAATGTTTCTTGGAATACTTGATACTTCGGCTTGCGCTTTTCCTTCGCCTCCTTGCCTCTTCTTCAACGTCGTCTAAGAGATACAAAAACTTTCTGTTGTTTATTGCTATTAACATTTACTTAGGAGTACTTTTCAGTTAACAACTTAGTTTCAGACATAACTATTGACCAACTTTTTTCTCTCGCCAGCTGCCCAGTCGACGCCATTCCGGTGGAGTTTGCTGGGTGGGAAAAACCGAAGGGGGAGGGCTCTGCTAAAGAAGAATTGAAACCATTTGGCTAATCAACTGAACAATCGAAACCTTTCGCTTAAGTGCTCCTTCCAGTTGGCGTCGTCCTGCAGCCTCAACTAGATCATATCCTAAGCACAATAATTACAGGATAATCGAGTCAGTTCTGGTAAACAATTTCGCTGGAAGGCAAAACAGTTTGCAGTAATTTCATTTCAGAATTTTTAATTGCCATTCTTTGCTCTTTTCCAAACGAGACATTTTAACAACATTCCAAGTAACTCATAATATTTTTACTAATTAAGGAAGTCTCTTGTGGTTTAAACACACTTGAAATTGAGTCTGAAATTGTGCTGTGAAAAAGTCGTACAAACTAGTTTTGTACATGGGATTTTCGGAATAAAAGCTACGTATGCAAATTTTAGGCCATCCTTTCAAGTGATGTTGAACCCTCGGAGAATTTATGCGTATGCGAATTTGGACACCAGAACCTTCTTGATCTAACATTTAAAATGCCATCGAAGTAACTCTATAAACAACGTTTAACTATTAACTAAACTGCATCACTTTTGATTTTCTTCGACCTCCGTATTCTGTTTTTTGTTTGCTCTAAGTGGAGTCTACCTCTCAGTTAGATATAAAACAAGTGATTTCCGCCTGGGCGGACTTAACTACAATTAGCATTAACTTTAGCTTTAGCTTTAGCCGAGCACTTCGGAGTGCTCCATCCTCAATTATATTTTAGTTAACAATTTCTTTTGTTTCGGTTTCGTGTTGTTCTCTGTTATTCTTTGTAGCTTTTGTGCGCATAACTTTGATTAGGGCGGGGCATAAAGGAGTTGTTTGGGGGCAAGTTGCAGGGCAAAGGGGGCGGGGCAAGAAGGGTCCTCCGGCTTCTTCCTGCCACAAACTGGTTCTGGTTCCTGTTTTTCTTCCAACCGCTGACATTTCCAGTGCGCGCTGACATCTCATCCGGCGGCATCTGCTGCAGCGGTGCCACCTCCTTCCTTCCGACTCCGCTCATGGACCCACCTGCAGCTGCATCTCCATCTGCTGGCGCTGCAGGTTCATCTCGGTGCGGTTCTTCATCATCCAGGTGCGCTCCAGATTCTCGCGGAAGTTCCGCTCGTTCTCCTGTCGCACTGTCAACGATACGAATCGGTGTAAATGATTTCGGATTGCAAAATATTTTATACAACACACAAGTTATTTTTTAATGCCAGAAGCTACTTGTATATACGCTCTTTAAATTAATTAGCGGTAGATTTAAACGATTTATTGAAAACATTAAAATAATAACTCACATATTATTGCTCATTTACCAAAATCTATATTGAAAATGTTTTATTGATTGAAATAAAGCCTAGGTAAGTTGTTATGGTATGAAATCATTTGGTAATCAAGTAATAAATAGGAAAACTATGTAAACTATGTATGTAACTCTTATGGAACAAGTTTTTAGGTAGATATAAACTAAATATTGATTCACTGCGCACTCGTTATTTTCCTGTTGCATTTCGTTCGAACTGCAGTTGAAGTAAATGCCTGTTGATGAATTCTCGAATACAACTTTCATCAATCCAGACTATTTACTTTAAACACAGTCCAACATTGTTCATCGCCCGCTGTTTTTATTTCCGTTTCCGCTCTGGGTTACGTTATCACGTTCGGATATGTGTACACATATCAAGTACACATCCCCCATTTCACACACGGTCCTCGTTTTTTCGCACCCCCCAACCCCCCAACCACCCACAAAGAACCAAACCCCCTTTGACATGACGCCCCTGCGATTGTCGTCGCGGTTGGTGTTTGCTCAACGCTTTTGTGCATTTTACAGCAGTTTTAATTAACGCTCAACAAACTGGAGATCGGATATGGGAATGGGAATGCGAATGGAGGAAGTCGAAGGGGAGCGGGGAGCGGGGAGCGGGAAGCGGGGGAATTGGATGGACAAACATTGGTTACCTGCCCGTGGGTGTTGTGTAAAGTGTCAAAATTTGTTTGCCAATCAATCACAAACATACACGCGGACTCAACTACAAGTCACAGTTGTTGCCGTTTCAGTATCAGTTTTGTTGTTTATTCGCATGCGAAACTGTTGCACACCCCGTGTGTCCTTTTGTTGTTGCCTTGCCGTGTGTTAAAGTTCGTCCGGTGCTGTTTGTGTAATTTGATTGATTTGCCGGAAAAGCTGCTAATTCAGAGAGTTACCATCGGTTCGAATATTTGTTTATTTGCGATTGCACAGTTTACGCTCGTCTGAAATTTAATTAAAAAATTCCAGCCCCAAATGGCCACCGCCGAACAGACCAAACGACCGTCCGACCAACGCAAACAAAAACACAGGCGCACACACTTTGGCTGCGCAAGGCTAGTGGAAAAATTTAAGTAATTTTCCCCTTTTTACTCGCTCATTTAATTGCAAAAATTAGTAATCCCATTTCCGCCCGCAGGCAGCGACTTTAACGAGGGGAGTGCAACCACGATGCAACATCACACATCGCTGCTGTTGCCGCTGCTCTTGCTGCTGGTGTTGCTTTTGCTTTTGTTTTTGTTTTTGTGTTTTTGCTTTTGTTGCCGCTGTCGTCATCAAATTCATATGCATATATGGGCCAAAGGCCACATGCTGGTTTCCAGCCACATGACCAGGATGTGTCCAGGCTTCCAGGCTTCCTGCCCCGTGCCCCATGCAACCCCGTAGCCCTTACTCCATGCCACAGCTCGTGCCTTTGCATGGTCCATGAGGCGTAATCGCAACGTGTTAATGCCAAAGTGGGCAGAGGGGGGGGTGGGGGCGTGGCAGGTTCCTGAAACCAGGTGACGATGCCTGCCATTATTCACTTGGCCAAGTGCTGTTTGTGCTGGCTCTGTTGCTGCCCCGGTAAGTAGCAGCCACTCAGCACAATGCCTCCTCCAGTTGGCCTGTTTTCGGACCTCAAGCCTTCGGCCCACAGGTTGAAGGGTGGATTGGGTTGTGGTGCCGCCCATATTTATTCGCAGATTAATAATATTCTCTATGCTGATGGTCTATGTGGCCCCCAGGAATACTAAGGGACAGCATGGGGATCTGCAATTAATTCAACCACTACTTCAAGTCCTCGTTTTCTAAGCTCAACTTGATAAAAGGTGTTTGCCATTATTGTAATATTAAGAAGGATAATAGAAAACTTTACTTAAGAGGATGGCTTGAATAATTATTTGGGCTAAATAATTAGTTAACTGCTAAGACTACAAAGTATAACAGAGGAATAGTTATTTCATAGAATCCTGCATACAAAATGGCCTTAGCTATTATCTTAAGCTTCTATAAAATTAAAAAAAAATCAAATAAACAATTGAATTATTTTAATTGGATCGTAACACATAACATTTTTTATTTGAATGGAAAATTTAAAGGCTTTTCAAACTTTGATAGGATTTTTTTTTTTTCAAACGCCTCTAAAATTAAATCCGGAACTTGTAAAAGATTAAATTTCTACTACTCATTTGAAAAGACTGGCAACTATTTTATTTTACAAATCTTCTAGATTTCTGATCTTAATTTTTTCAGCCTCTGGGTGTTAAGCATTTTCGCTTACAGGACATAGCCTAGTTGAGCATTCACCTGTCCTCAAGGACGTGGGTGAGCCAAATGCGTGCTGAAGCTCCCGGAGCCGCTTGCGTGTGGAGGTGAGCGCGCGAGGCTATTCGAGACCAATTAACATATAACTTTCCCACCGGTAAACAAGTTAAATTGTTAACAGCCATTATGGGCGCTCATAAATGCTGCCGAGTAACTTTGAGCCACACGCCTGCCCTCGTCCTTTTGTCCCCCACCGTCCCCTTTCCGCCCTCACTTTCCATTCAACTGCCTCTGTTCTGTCTGCCGGGCGCTTTGTCTTTCATGTTGTTTAATTATAAATGTGGCACTGAAAGCAAAAGGAGCCCGTCCCCAGCTTCACTCCACTCCACTCCTCCAGATTCAGGTTCTGTGGCGTGGCCGTCACGGCAGTTTGCCTGACGGATGACGACCGACGCCTAATTAGCAGCTAGGGAATGGAACTCTCGCTCTGGTTGTGCTTGTGCTCCTGGCTCTGGGGATTGTTTTCCATCCATTGTACCTTCAAATTGAATTTATTGATGCACTTTTGTTGCCTCCGCTGTCTGCTTTGCCAGTGCCATTCGGGTTTTTCCCCCCACCCCTTTTTTTTTTGATTTAACTAGAGCATGATGGAGATTCGACATGCAACAGATTCTGCTTGGTAATGGAAAGCTTGTTGAAACAACTCGTCCATTATTGCTTTCAATTATGAATATCACAATGGGAACTACGTCAAGTGTAAATAATAACTAAGCGAGATTGCATTGAGATGTGTTGCATAAATGAATGGCTTTGTGCAAACAAAGTGGCGCCCAACGTGTGGCCTCCCAGATATTTCAATGCATATACTTAACCAACAGTAAGTTGGCTTCTCCAACTTTGTAAGGTCTTGGTTTTTCGATTAGAACTTAGAATACAAGTTAATCGCACTACAGAGGGACCCACAAGACCGGTAATATAAGTAATATACAAGCTATCAGAAATAAGTTTGCACCTACAGCAGTTTGATCAAGTGGTTTCTCTTAGAGTTTTCAGTTCAACTTCCTGATAAGAATGAAATAAGTTTTCCGCTGGCTTTTCTCTGGCCTCAAACTTTCTTGTGCGAACTGTCAATTTGTCGCATTTTTTATGTGTATGTTGCAAGTTGCTAGTGGGCTTGGAAATTTGGGGACTTTAGCGGTCACACGGGACATTCGGCTTTGGCAAGGCCATTGGAGCGAACGGGGCGGATGGGCAATGTCACTGGCATGAGTTGATGTTACTGTTGCGTTGCTGCTGCTGCTGCTGCTGCTTTTGCCTGTGCTGCTGCTATCTTATAATAAACAATTGTTGTTAGTGTGTTTTTTTGTTGCTTGCTATGCTGTTGTTGCACTTTCACTGAGGCGCAGTTGAAAAAGTAACCTAGTTTCCATGTCGTCAACGTGAAATTAAGGCTACGGGTGTGAGCGTGCCTCCTGTCTGTGGGCACACGCACACATAATAAAAAGGAAACCAAGCGTACCGTGCCGTAATGATGCTGCACACCCACACACACACAAACATACACGCTAACAAACAAAACTATTAAGCGAGTGTATAAAAAAAGAGCAGGATAACCAAGGGAAAGGTCTCCGCAGGCCTTGGCTGCTCAGCCTGCCAGTCGGTCTGTCTGTCTGTCTGTCGGTCAGTTAGTCGCCTAACCACCCACCGCCACCCACTGGGAGTCGGTTAAGCATTGTTTGTGCTCGGCTAAATAACACTAACACACCCACACACGCAAAAGTACAACCACCCGCACACACACGTGCTGATTAGTTTGGCTTTGCGGCAAGAAGATGCTGCGGCTCCTGATGCAGTCAAAGTCATTAAAGTCATGGTAAGTAAGTACGGCATCATTTTTTATGACCGTGTGCGTGTTTGCCTGGCAGGTTAGTCAGTTAGTCAGTTATGTAATGCTCGAGATTTTGCTGAGCTTTTGCCAGCTCAATATTTGAAAATTCCATCCCGGCTTCTGCGTCGTGTGTTTGTTTGTTTGCTTTGTTCAAGGGGGCGGTGTGTTTGGGGAGGAAGGGAGGGGAGTGGTCTGTTGGGTGGATGGACAGACAGCAGGGAGCTGACACACATATTTGTATTTGCACAGTTTTATGGTCTGTGAGGACATATGGCTATATGGCTACACCGACTGACTGGGCTGCTTTAAGCCCGATAATGTATCCGGGCTGACCTCGTTCATTGATTTGCATCGATGGGGCAGAGATGGAATGCAGTTTAAAGAATTCTGTTTCAGCTTAGCTATTTATGGAGAATAGTTTGGATTTCATAGTTGTGAACAGCAGAGAATGCCGATTGCAGTTGTCTGATGAAAAGTTATTTGATTTTAGACAGTGCATTTAGTATTTTGTGCATTATATAATTGCTTAGGCAAGTAACACACTGGAATAGTTCTATACAATAACAAATTGGCGCCCAACGTGGTGCACATTACATTTTTTCTTGGTACAACTATTTTAACATACTTTTGAATCATTTGTTTATGGAAAATAATTGCATTTCAGAGTTGTTAACGTGGAATTCTTGATAATTATGAGGAATTCAGAACTGGTATTTAATTTAAAATAGTGACTCACTCAACATTTAAAGTTGTTTCTGGTCATGTAAATATAATAAGAGGATAAAGAAACTAAATATTTTACTTAAGCATTTTTGTAACTATTTTTCTAACACAACATTAGTGCCAAAACAATTACCAAAAACCGAAGCTCTGTGAAGTTTGTTTCGAGTACAACTAAAGCACTCTCCATCTCTACCTTTAAGAACCCACACACAAGGCCTTGCCTACTTACGGACTCATCGATGGTTGCCGCTGCAGCTCCTCCATGTGCTCTGCTCCCTTACTCGTTGGACGTCAGATGGGCGGCGGGACGGTGCAACCAGAGACCCGACGACGCAGAGGAAACAAAATGCAGAGCGAAACGACAGCACGGAATCGAAGCGGAAGCGAAAGCGAAAACGCAAACGCAAACGCAAACGTTAACGAAATCGAGTCCAAAGTCAGGGGAAAACCATAAGGCGGCAGGCAGTCGAAGTGGCCGGGGCACAGCCTCTGCGTTCGAGTTCATGAGGGCCGCATGCCGGTCCAATGAACGGGAGTGTCCCTGCTGAACGAGTGCGCCTTCTTGCCGCCCTGGCCGGAGCTTGAGGTCAGCGTGATGGTCAGCACGAAGACGCTGGCGCAGACCAGGCACAGTAGCACCGTGGACAGGACGATGCAGACGATCCGCTTGCGCTTGCGGTCCGCCGCCTCCTCCTCGTCGGTGTCGTCGCTCAGCGACTTCTTCTTCAGCTTGTGCGAGCCGCCGGTCACCGAACCCTTCCTTCCTCCGGCGGCCAGTTTGTGGTGGAAGGGCCGCAGCACCTGGGCAGCGAACGCCGCATCGCTCAGCTCGTGGTCGTACGTCAGCGAGGATTTTCGCTCGAAGCTGGGACGCTTCTCCTCGATGAAGGCGGCCGCCGCCGCCGAGGCGGTGATGGGCCGCGGACTCCGCTTGATCTCCTCGATGCTCGATCCCGGTCCGACCGTGGACAGAGGGCGACTGTTGCGTCGGTGGGGCGAGCTCAGCTCGAAGTCGTCCGGTCCCGCCGGCGGACCACTTCCGGCACCTGCATCTCCGATGAAGCTCTTCGACTTCTTCGACGCGCTCAGCGTCTCCCGATAGCTGCGCAGGCGCACACTGGCGCTGTGCAGCGCCTTGGCCTGCTTCACACTGGCGCTGGCGTTGGTGCCCTGGAAGGCCGCCGCTGCCGCCAGGACACCCGGCCGGTGGACGGCTAGCTCCTCCAGGTTGCTCGGCGACAGGTAGAGCGATCGGCCGTGCTGGGCGCCCCGCTTGAAGTGGTACGCCGCACTGGCCGCCGCCGCCGCGCTGTGCAGTTGCAGGCCGTGTCCGCCCGCTGCCGCAGCCGCCGCCGCTGCTGCTGCTGAGGTTGAGGGACGTCCGTCCAGCTCCAGGCTGTGGGTGCTCACTTGGCGGGTGTGCGGGTGGTGCGACTCGCGCTTCTGCTTCACGCTGTTCGCTGCCGATGGCGGGTGGGTGGCACTGTGGCCGGCGGCCGTGTCCTCGAAGGAGCCCGCTCCGGAGCTCTTGCGCAGCCGCTGCACGGCCACCGCGGCGGCAGTGATCTCCGCCAGGCCGAGCTCCTCCATCTTGGTGTGGCTGTTGCTCCGGGAGCGCGTGTCCACGAACAGCTCGTTCTCCAGCGACAGGTTGGTGGGTGCCGCAAACAGATTCCTCCCGTTCATCGGCTCCATCAGGTCGTCGTTCAGCGAGGGATGGCGTATCTGCGACTCCACCACCGATTCGGGCTTCACACTGGGCCTACGAGCCGGATCATTGAACGATCGGTGCGACCGACAGCCCCTCCGGCTGGGCGACGGCGATCGCGAGATTTCCTTGGCACCGCCTGGTGGACCGGGCATTAGGAAGTTGCCCCGCACCGAACTGGTGCGGCGACTCGAGGCCGCCGAGCCCGCGGCGACGGCCAGCTGGATTTGGTCCAGGGCGGCGGGGTCCTGTTGCGCGTGGAAGGAATGCGTCTTCTTCATCTGAAAATTGGTAGACGGATGGACGTCAATGGTGTCGGATCGCCGGAACAGGTTCTTCTTCAGCGGGTGCGTGTGCATGGGCCGTTGCGCGGGCGCAATCACTGGGTTCGGCATGTCGTCCACGTCGATGAACTGAATGGGCGAGGTGCTACCGCCCAGCGATCGCCCCATGCCCATGCCCATGCCGCCCGCCCCCAGCCCCAGGCCGCCCACGCCGACACCATCGCCCAGGCTGCTGCTGCTGCTGACCAGATAAATGTCCGGCTGCTGGCGGTGCTGTTGGCCCAGAACCGGGCTAACCGCGTGTGAGGTTGGTGAGCTCTTCGGGTGCGCATGCGGATGCGGATGCGTATGCGGATGTTGAAGCTGATGTGGATGCGTATGTTGCGGATGTTGGCGGTGCGATAGTGAGTGCTGCTGCTGGTGGCTTGTCTGATGCCGACCAGCAGTTGCCTGTGCGGCAAGTTGCTGAAAAGTGTGCAAGTGCAACTGATGTTGCTGTTGTTGTTGTTGCTGTTGGTGTTGTTGGTGTTGCTGGTGTTGTTGTTGTTGTTGTTGGAGGAGGTGATGGTGTTGCTGGCGGGCAGAGAGGGCTGGGGAGACGGCACCACTGCCACTACCGCCGCCACGTTGGCTGGGATGGGAAACTATATGTTGCTGTTGTTGTAGTTGTTGCTGTTGTTGTAGCTGTTGTTGTTGTAATTGTTGTGCTGGGATTGCTAGGGTCTGCGGGGGGAGGGCGCCGGATCGGGAATGGGGCAGGGGCGAGGCCGAGCGGTGGATCAGCGGCTTCTCACTGATGACAATGCCCTCGCCCTCCATATCGATCTCCATGTCGAGGTCCATGTCCATGTCCATGCCCATCTCCATGCCCATGCCCATTTCCATGTCCAAGTCCATGTCGAGGTCGGCGGACGACGGGGCATAGTTGTCGATGGCCATGGACAGGGATCGATGGATGGGCTTCAGCTTGGGCGGCTTCTTCTTCGTGGCGGGATTGTCAAAGGACGAGGTGCCCGACGTGTGCTCCTCGTCCGCTCCGCCGGCGGTCAGATACGGATCGAAGCTGTGAACGGCAACCACATGTTGGTGGTGTCGCTGCTGCTGCTGATGCGACTGCTGCTGTTGCTGTTGGTGTTGGTGGTGCGACGACTGGTGGTGCGACGACTGCTGCTGGTGGTGCGACGACGACTGCTGCTGCTGACCACCGCCGGTGCCGCGCTCCATGCGGTAGTAGTACTGCCGGGGATATCTATGGTAGTAATGTGCAATTGTGGTGCTGGTATGTGGTTAGGTGGAGTGGATCAATCGGGAGTGGAGCTATCGGGAGCTACCAGGAGACGGGGGTTTCTGCGCTAGGGTGCTTCACTCTGACCTGTCGGCCTCAGTGGTTGGTGGTGGTTCGGCCGGGCCCTCAAGGCGGCAGCACCGCCGAAACGGTCTGGCAAACGCTTGCGGTGGTTGTTGTTGCAGGTGGTTAAAATATATATTGTGGTTGCTGCGGTTGTTGTATTATTTATTTTTTTTTTTTTTGTGAGGGTGCTCTTTAGTTACTTTTTGCTCTATTTTTTTTTTTTTTTTTGGTGGTGCTGGATTGCTCTAGGTGGTGGTGCTACACGACAAACACGGACACCGATCGTGGTACGAATGTGGCAGGTGGTAGGTGGTGGCAGGTGGATGGGGGTACACACACATACACACTCACACACACAGCGAGAGCTTAAAGGTGCAAGGACATTCGACAAGAGTTGGGTGAGTTGGGAAAGTACGCTTGGATTATTTGGTTTTGTATTCAGTTTTTTTTGCGGCTGCTCTGCGGATTTCTCTCTGCTTGTGCGTTTTTTTTTTTTTTTTTTTTGGCCTTATCACTGTTTTAGCTGTTTTTGGTGTTCTGTTTAGACTTCATTTATGGCTACTTCTCGTCTAGTGCGTGCAATTAAATTCCTTTTTGGCTTCTTAGCCTTCTAGCTTCTACTGCTCTCTCACTGTTTTTATTGTCACATTGTGTACGTGCTTTGTTGTTCTTGTTCTTTTATTTATTGCAATTCAAATGAGTCTTTCTTGTTATTGTTGTTGTTGTTGTTGTTTTGGCTTGATGATAATAATGGTGGGAATTGGTAGCTGCTTGTTGTGGTTGTTGTACAAAATGCTCTGTTCTTGTTATTGTTGTAGTGTTTTTTGTTGTTTTGCTAAAGTTTTTGGTTTCTGTTTCTGTTTTTTCGGATTTGGTTTTCTGTTTTTGTTTTTTTGCTTGGTTTGCTTGCTACACTCATTAAAATTGGCAAATACAAAAGCACAACTAGAAAAAGAGAAGAGAGAAATTCGTAAAAAACGTATTAGCAAGCTGGGCCGGGGGCTGTGAGGGGGTGGTGGTGGTGGGTGGTGTTCTTGGATTGTGGGTGGTTCCTGGTGATATCGTGTGGTGTTTTTGTGCCATGTGCAGAGTAAGTAAGTGATGGAAAACAGCCTCAACAGCTTCAGAGAGCAAAAGTAGAAAAAGTCCGAAAGCAAATCGAATAAAAGCCAAAATGGAAGGAAATGAACAAAAATACGCCACGGATTTTCCTAATTGAGCCGAGTCAAGTTCTAATTAATGAGTCATTGAGAATGGTTCACTGAGCTTCAGAGTTATATTTGGTTTCTTCGAACTTCGAACAGTTCAGTTCAAGCAGTTATAAGGAGTGTAATCTGGCGCACAATAAGATTATACAACTTTTTTTTGCAAGTGGACTTTTAATCAGCTTAATGTTTCAAAGTTCAGAAGCAACTTTAATTTATGGCGCTTGGAAACAGTATTTATGTAAAGAGAACTTAATACTAGCTTTGATTTTTTTGTTAGTAAAATGCTTTTTCCCCCAACAATTAAATCAAATTAAAAGAAATATAGGTAAAGTTTTAAAGTTTTTTGCTCACAAAGAATTTGTTATTTAGTTTGCTTAGTGTCTTAAAAGCAAAATTTTGACATAGTTTTTACTGCATTTTCAAACAGATAATTAATTCAGTACGGGGCTGACTTTGGGATGTGCTTTTAAACGCCCCCTGAGTTTCACCGACATTTTCTCATACATTTTTAAAATGATAATCCCTTTAGTTTTTGGCCCGTTTGCCGAATGGCTTTATGACCTTTCATGGCGATTCCTGGCCGTAAGTCGATCACGTAGCGGACTCGTTGTCGGGTAATGTAGCATAATCAAATTTAATCTATGGAACTGCCCTCGTAGCCGCAAATTCCCAACTCGCCGCTGCCAATTCCCAGCTCGTTTAATGGCCAACCCGTTGGCCAACACAATTCATCATTCAACTATACCTTTGGCAGGCCACGAGCCGAGGAATTGCTACGTTTTGCATAATTTAAAGCGACAGGCCACAGCCAGTCACTTCCACATCCTCATCCTCTTCCACTGCCTCTTCCACTGCCACATCCCCAGCCACTTCCACTTTCAGGGGCAGTGGGAAAAAAGGCTTCGTGAAGCGAAAGTCCTTTGCCACTGTCACTCACAGTGTTAATTTTTCAGAGCTCATTGATGGATGAGCGCGTCGGTTGACATTTATGTACGATGGTTCGGCCTAGTCTTGCACAAATGATGATTCCGGCTAGTGGCCCGTTAAAAATTAACGCCATCAGCCAGCAGCCAGTAGCCGGGCTTGGCCCCCACTTAAGTCCCCCCCAACTCTCATTCACAACCAAAACGAGTTAAACATATTAAAATTTGCTTATGCAGAAAGGTAAAGTGGCCCGAATGCTCAGGAGACACTCGACATCACGTACTTTAAATATGTTTAACGCAACTTAAGTGAAATGAAAGGCACGAAGATGTGTACGTGCATGTCGTATATGTGGCAAACATACTATATACTATATATGCTCGGGAGTAGTACCCCGATATCTCCTCCTTCTGCTGCTCTTTCTGCTTCTGTTTCTGTAACCAAATGCCATTGTCAATGGCAACGTTGTCTGTAGCTGGCATTATATCACAAGTTGGAGGAGTCTCGGCCTATCGGGTTTCTTAGTCGCTCGCTTTGTGCGGCGACACTTGCCACATTTCTTCTTCGAAGTCTTTTGTGTCACATTTTTGTGAGACGGATTCCTCGCCGGGTCCCCGGATTTAATTTGAAATTCGTGTTCGGGTCGGAGGCTCAACTGTGATACGCTACGTAATCCTAAACAGGTTCTTAGACTGCCGGCATGCCGGGTGAAAGTTGAAAAATGATTTACTGTGAACCCCTGCCCAGCATTGCCCTCTGAATTAAGTGCATTGAAATGTTGAGATTTTTATGATTAATAATTGTTTTTTATTAATGGTTTTATAACCCTAATGATAATTTAATTTCTTCCCTAAAATATTGATAACTGTATTAATAATACATGCAAATATTTCATTCTGTTTACAAAAGAAAAACATTTTTAATTGAACAATGAATATTACTCAATATATATGAGAAGTAAACCAAGTAAATAATTGAATTTATTGATAATAATAATTTAATTTCAACTGATAGCTTCCTTAACCTTAGCAATGTTCAACCTGTTTAAATTGGATACTTAATACAGTTTACAACTCCTTAGAAGCTGGCATTTCTATTTGCACGTTTGTTGCTAGGAGGCAATCGTTTGTTTTTGGTTAGAAAATATAATCCTTTATTATCAAAGTGTTATCGCATGGGCAACCTCAAGAGATAGCTTCCCCTTTTAGCTTATGTAAATTGTACATTTAATACTCCCAACCCTCTTCACAAGTTCACGAGGCTATTAGGCTGTCTGTTACCACCTCGTGGGGCTGTATTAATTTCCCGTTTCTTTCGCCCAAGTTAATACAATTTGTATGCCATTCCCCCCGTTCGATTCCGTTCGCTCTAATTGACATAAACAATACTTAATTAACATAAAACTAACATTCCCGACCCGCTGGCAAACCCAATTTAAACAGCCATACGTGCGTAATTAAGTCCGCCCTTGGCGTGCCACGCCCCCTTAGGGTCGGCTACTATATCTCCGAGTGGCTTCATGCCAGCAATAAAGGGGGGAGTTCATTGGGGGAGGAGGGGAGCAGGAGGAGTCGGTGGAGTGGGGATTGGAGATTGGGGGAGGAGGCATTAAGGCTTCGGGTCCGTTGCCCGTGCTGGTGTGAAAATCAAAGTGGCATTAAACGCACGCCCACGCACTTGGTCAGAATATCTGGTTGGATATCTGGTTGCGAGTAACTGCCTCCGCCACCGAATAAGGGGGCGTGGCAGTAAGTGCGACCAATTAATTTATCCCGTTTCTGCTGGCTACGGTTGTCGTAAACAACCGACGCGATTGCCGCCAGCCAAGACAACAGATGTCACTTAATGTTATTAAATCTGTGCAACGTGTTTGCCTTAAATCTTTTTCGGCCATAAATGTATTTACACAAGGACGACTTAACGTACCATTTTGTATCTGTGTTGTGTGTGTAAGTGTGTGTGTGTGAATGCTACTGTATGTGTGTGCTTCCTGCCGTGACGTCGGCATAATCCGATTAAATGACGAAAATTATGCAAGGGAATGCATTCCTTGTCGGCATTGCGACATCCTCGAGAGCGACGAAGGAGCTGAATCCTTCGCCACCCATCCTGGCACACAATTAAAATTCCCTCACACACGAAACAGCAAGCTTCTGCTTTTGCTGCTGCCGGTTTTGCTGATTTCATTCCATTTCACAGCAGGCCATGGCAGTTTATTTCGTTTATTTCATCCTTTCGAAAGTTACACGGATAATGATCATTTGCCGCAGAGGAGCAGCTTCTAATCGCCCCATCTCTTCGGATTCCATCGCATCGAGAAGTGTTTTTAAGAGATTGCCCGGGATTAACATATTTGGGAACCCACGAGAGCTTTAAGTGCATTGCATTTGGCCACCATTAACATTCCGACAAGCAAAAGCATCCGAAAGATGATAGTTGCTCGGTTAGAAAGCCACAAAATCTGCTTTCAGTATTGATTTATTTCCAACCAAAATTACCTGTTTGTGTCTGTTTCTTTTTTTTTCTAACTTTTTTGCAAGAGTCTGAAATTCGAGCTCACATGAATGGGAATTTTCCCACCACGTATGAATTCACTTTTTGATAACAGCTTTTTACTTGATTCTTTTTCCGACTTGCCAGTTCAAAGTTCCACACATCGTTGCCTTAGATATAAATGCTTCATATCCAGAATCCATAACCATAAAATCCTTTAATGTTTCTACCAACTTCCACTGGCCGAGCAGTGCAAAAACACATTTCGCTTATTCTTTCACCAGCTTCTTTCGCTTTGAGTGAAAGCAGCGCCTGCAGTTATGCAATATTATTTTAAAGCAAATTCCATTTTCACAATGCAGCACACTCCCTTTTCTTGTGCTCCCGTTTTTTTTCTCTATTTTTTTTGGTGTTTTTGCTGGCAACATTTCTCGGTGGCTGCTGTCAGCAGCCAAATGCAAAAGCCAAAGTCGAACGGAATGTCCGTCAGTGGGGCGTTTTGGACCTTCAGTTTAATTTGAATTGTTTGCGGATGGCAAGCATTTTTAGTGCTACTAAGAACACGAGCATGACCACGCCCTGTCCATAATCTTATTAAGTGCGCTTAGTTCCTTAATAAACAATCGTAAAAACTTTCGAAGCACTGGCGAGTGCAGCCAAGAGTCCTGTATTTCAGCCACATTATTTCCGCTTATCCCTCACCGAACCGAGAGGGCAAATCTAAACGAGAAATTACGAACTCGCACATACAGAGTTTAAGAACTGAACTTTTGTGACGGCTTATGCAGTGAGAAAAACATAGTGAAAGTCACAGACGATTTGAAAATAGCAATAATGGTATTTGGAAGTTTACATTTATTTATTTTTATCTGAAAAAAGAATATTTTCCTTACAGTAAAATTAAAGGAAAAAAAATAGGAATACAATTTAAGTCTTCAATGGTTTTGAGTTTGGAAATCAAGGTAGCCACTTAGAAGAATCAAAGACTTTTAGTTTTTAATTTTACAAAAATTATATAAAGCATCAGAATTGAGAAGAAATAACCTCAAAAAATAAACATTATAACAAAAATATTGCCCATGAATTTTAGATTGTATAAAAAAAGTTATAATACTAAAAGAAAATAGTAATAAAAATAAAATCATAACTTTGATAAGTTGAAATGTGATTCGTTTGACAAGCATTTATTAAACCTATTAAAAATAGTACTAATGGAAAAATCAATATACACGATTTTTAACTTGAACGATACTTTTTGAAAAAGTTTCTGTGAGTATAGTTTTTTTCCTGCAAAGTTAGAAAGTTACTGTTTAACTTAGT